AATCCTTGCTGCCAAACTGCTACCCAAATCTCTTGTTACTCCCAGCTTCCTTGTAAGTAACTTCAATTCTTTCTGTGATCTTACGGGTTCCGCTATTTAGTGCGTTTATATATATATTGAATAATTTTTAAGATTATGGAATTAAATATTAATAAACGACTTCACTCTTACGAGTCGACGTTGACCGGTCAACATCCGCCCGGGCTGTGATAGTTTGCTGGGTCCGTCCCTATCTTAGGCGACCCCAAAATGTGTCCTTAGTCCTTTTTGGTCGATGTCATGGACCACTGCTAGCCGTTTTCTTTAGTTTTACTCGATACTTTCAATCCAATCTCAATAATATACCGGAATAGTTGTGATTTTCTGAATAGGAAAATGTGCTTGAAGTGCCATAGTTTTGTTCATGATACATTGGATCTTGATGAAGTTTGACGGCTAGAATATTACATGTGAGTCATAATGATATAAGTAGTGAAACCCGGGTCTCAATTTTTGTTATTTGTTCGAAATAGCTCATTCATCCGAAATGAGTCGATGACAACTAAATTGTATAAAATACTATGATTTTCTTGTTCATCAGCTAGATATTTTTCTCACCAAGATCAAAAGAGAAGATGAGCCAAGAGTGTGTATGAACTGTTACAGTATGAGAAGCTTCTAACAGGAGAAGTTAGGTCGAGGTGAACCGAACCATCAGCCGACACATTTTTTCCGTCCTCAGTATGTAAATTTGCTGCTGTAGTCATTCCTTGTATTCTAATGCACTGCTGTGACCCCTGTTTTATTATAGAAGGGTCAGGCAATGAATGAAATAGGAATTTGCAACATCAGCATACTTTTCTTTTACTAATTGATAAAATACTTTTTGCTAAACTTTTGAGACTAGTATGGACCTTTACTCACGAGATTACGACACACGAAGTGAGTCAATTTACTCGATGTAAGTTTGCTCCTCTTGACAGCCCTTTTCGAATTAAGTAAATTTACTCGACCTCATCGATGCATTGTCTAATGATTTGAAATGCATCGCATTTATTGGACGATGAAATATTGGAGTTCAGTGCAACCTAGATTGACACTGAGCACAATTCATACATAGCTATGTAAATTACACTTTTCCGTATATTTATAAAATGTTACATCTTTAATAAAATGATAATAGTAGTAACACATATATACATATTTAATGACGGTTTAAGTAAATTTAATGTCGAAATAAGGACTTTATGCTAATCGTAATTAAATATTCAATGAGTAAATAATAAAAGATAAATAAAATATTGTAATATAAAAGTTTTGGGTATTCATGAACAAGCAAAGGACCTTTACTTTTCACCCAAATGAACAAACATTCAATATTGGTGACCTCCGTGGGGATGGGACTATTTCTATTACACAATGACTGTTTACCAGTGATTTCTCACAAACCACATTGTTGTTTGATCCCCATTTTTTGAAAGAATATATTTTGAAATAATAGAATGATGAAAAATGTGTAGTTAAAAAATAAAAAAAAAACTTTAAATTTGCGTGTAATATTATTTTATTGAAAAATGTGTGATCGAAAAGAAAAGTGAAAAAAGTATACTTTGAAAATAATTAGTACCAAACAAATATCATACATTTTATAGACGGGAAAATTGCAGCTACATTACCAAAACTTTCATTTTATTGCAGATTTTTTCCAAATCTTTCATTTGTGTCATTCACGATACCAAGCCTTTCAAAAATCACACTCGGAGTCAAAATGGATGAAAACCGTTAGTTCATCCGTTAGTTGACTGACATAGAGTCAATATTTTGACCAAATTTCCAGCTATTCAAAAAGGGTGGAGTTGGAGAATCCATACTCAAATTTGACTGGAGCCACCACGATTTACACACTACATTTGAGGTTATGATAGGTGATTGTGATTTGCTGATTTATTGCTCAAATTCTTGAAAATTGTGAAATTGTGCGATGCGGTGATTGTGGGTGGGTGGGTAACGATATGAATGGTTTGCAATGACTTTGATGGTCAAAATGTTGACTCTATGTCAACTAACGGATAAACTAACGATTTTCATCCATTTGGACCCCATGTATAAATTTTTGAAGGGTTTGATACCATGGATGATACAAATAAAAGATTTGTGCAATGTTTCTAATAAAATGGAAGATTTGATACTGTGGCTGCAATTTTCCCTTTATAAACCAACTTGACAAAGAAAATAACCCATAATTTGTTTGGCCTTTTCCACGTGGCATTATAGGATTGCACAGCCTTTAGCGATTTTTTTTTAATATTTAAATTGAGACAAGTTGGCAAAGTGAACTTGTCCAAGAAACGATTAGGACGACACACCGGAAATGGTTGGACAAACGCGTTCAAGATTTGACCCGTACAGGCTTTTGTGACCTCAAAGGGTCATGTCTATTCCCAGATTACACCTGCTCCATCGGGGGTTTAACCATAATTATTGATTTCCCAAATCTAAATACCCACATCAAAAAATACCAAGGAAAAATAAGAAAATTGGATCGAAACTAGCATGATCTGGTTCATAGATTGGTCTGCCATAATAAACGAAACGTGCTTCATTTGATTATCTATCTTGACAATTCATGAATGCCAACCTTGTAGGTGGGTCCGACGCATCGTCCAATGTACCCTAAACATATTTTTAGATGGATTGGATTGGTTCAAATTAACTATGGCCTTGAATCGAGCCTAGTTTGAGATGGGTAGGTGTAGTCCAGACCTACCAATTTTGAATATTTGACACTCCTAAACCCCTATTTGTCATCCATTATTTCAAAACATTGTTTGCTACAGTAAGATTCTCCACCACACATTTATCCAATAAAATATTCTACACATAAACCAATAAAGTAACTTTAAATTTCAATCACACATTCTCCAAAAAATACTATTCATTACACCATTTTAAACACAAAAATGGATGACAAACAGGCTCTAAATCTCCTAAATCTAGACATCTACTTAACATTTTTGGCGTAAAGGACCAGGCTAGAACCTTTTCTTTACTATCTAAGTCGTGGACAGGAGGCCATAAGTCACCCCACACGTCACAGGACAGATTATGCATATTACAGGGCCTTTAATTGTAAGCAGCTTCCATGTAGGGTCATGGTTGGGACCCACAACTCCTGTAGGCAAAATAACTTTCTCCTCTGTGTCTATAAATACGCGGACGCATTTCTCATACACTCCCATAAAAACCTTGGACCTCTGTATTCATATTTCTCACAGATTATTCAAATAATTAGAAAAAAAGTTGACATTTTCAAAGTCCCATTATCATGGTTCAATTGCAGAATCAGTTTCTTGAAAATTCTCCGTTCGCCGGCGACGGTTTCATGGTTGCTGAAGACTTGCCGAAACCCGACGTCCAAATCATCACCTCTGGTGGCCTGAGTATCCCGGCGCACTCTAGAATCCTGGTATTTTTTTCCTTTCTTAAACCCACAAAATTCAATCTACTTTTCGAAAATTTCAACTGGGTTTTTTATTTGGGTTTTGGGGAATTTTTTTTACAGGCTTCGGCATCGCCGGTGGTGGAGCGATTGATAGCACGGCCGCAAAAGCGCCGGAGCTCTGATCGGAAAATTTCTATTCTCGGTGTTCCATACGACGCCGTTACTGTGTTCGTTCAATTTCTTTATTCCTCCAAGTCAGTTTCCCATCCTCCACGCCAATTATTCTTTCTCCCATTTTTAATTTATCTAAGTTTATTTAATTTAACAAATTTCCCATTCACATTAATTAATTTCATTAATGTGACATATATTGATCGTGCTTAGAAGTCCCTTTTTTTACAATTTTATGTGCAGCTAAAAAGCTAGCCTTTAAGCACGACGCTGTACCATGTTAATCACCATACACGTCGCACATTCCAGACCAACTCTCAACAAATTTTTATATTTTTGTTTTTGTATTTCGCGGCGAATTATGTTGCTTCCTAGAACATAGGAATTAAATAAAGTATTGTTGTGTTTGTTTCATCAGGTGTGATGAGGAGCACATGGAGAAGTATGCAATTCACTTGCTGGCATTGTCACATGTATATTTTGTACCACATCTAAAGAAGAAATGTACAAGGGGTTTAGCCGAGCGGTTGACTATCGAAAATGTTGTCGATGTACTCCAGCTTGCTCGACTCTGTGACGCACCTGATCTTTACCTCAAGTGCTTGAAATTGTTGTCGAATAATTTCAATGCTGTTGAGGAGACTGAAGGATGGAAGTTTTTGCAAAATCACGATCCATGGCTCGAACTCGAAATTTTACAATTCATGGATGAATCAGAATCAGTACAGTCCTCAACCCGTCCCTTCATTTGTTCATATTGTGTTTTGGTTATGTAATACTGATGATCATATGAATTTGCTTTTGATAGAGGAAAAAGAAGTAAGAAGAGGGTTAACGGAGGGTGTTTGCGTTGTCAGCGAATGTGGCAGCGCAGTCGAGTGCACTCTTCGATTGGTGACCAAGCGGATGAGTGTAGAGTCCCTATGTGCAGGTATAAGCAACGCTTCCTAATATTCGTGTTTTGATTATGTTATTAGTATAATATTCTTTTACGACAAGTATACATGTGTCTTAGGTAGCACAAATTAAGAATCTGTGATTCGTTTCATTTATTATTATGGAAGTTAGGAAGAATAAGATGTCCATATCCCATTTGGTTGGAAAGTAGGTCCTGACCTCTTATCTTCTTAGGTGGCTCCAAAATGTTTCCTTGGGCGATTGATAGAACTGATTAGGTCCTTTTCCTGGTGAGATATTATTAACATTCATTAGTTTCTCTTCTCTAAAGGACACCAAGTTAGCTGTAAGTAGGGCCCTTGGAAAGTGTTCCTATCTATTAATAGGGTTTTGGTTCACACGTCCTCTTGTGACAAATGCTGACTGAAATGTTTTTCTATCCATGAAGATCCCACCAAAGCGCCTTCTACTTCTAATATGCCATAAACTCTTGTTCATCTCCCCTGGGTCTATGTCTTTATTAGATATTTTGTGATTCTTTGAATGGAAAAAAGTCGTTAAAGTACCGTCGTTCCTGATACATTGGATCTTGATAAAGTTCAACATGTAGAAAATGGCACATTAGTCAGAGTCTGAATTTTAGGTAGATGTTAAAAATAAGACCCAGATTATTGTTCTAGGGGACTCATTCATCCTAAATGAGTCGAATGACAACTAAATTGTATTTAATACTTGGTACAATGATCCTGTTTTTCGGTGAGATACTTTAATATAGTAGTTCTTCTAAAACCTTACGTGGGATTGGTTTGTTATGTTGTAGACAATTCAAATTGAAGGTCCAACAAGATAGAAAACGAGACAGTGCAAAGTGGAGATTACTTGTGAGAAAGGTCGTCTCGGCCAAGACCGTGTCTTCCTTGTCTCTTGTCAAGAGGAAAAGAGAAGAGGGGCCAAGAGTGAATACAAACTATTACGGAATGAGAAGCTTCGAACAATAGAAGCTAGCTCGACTGACTAAACCACGAGTAGACACATTTTTTAAGACCGAAATGTTAATTTTTTTATTTTTATTTTTGTAATAGTTTCTGTTCTAGTCATTTTGCTTCCTATGTACTGCTGTTGCCCCTGTTTTTATCATGTGAGGGGTCAGCAATAAAGTATGATGGACCACATGAGATCAAAATAAAGTTGTTGGTTGCTTGTCAATTTACTTTTTCTCACTTAATTTATTTAAATTATTTATTTTGCTTTTACAATTGGCTTTCTTTTCTTTAAGAACAAAGTAGTCAAATAATGGTTCCTTTCTTGAAGGAAGATCCTTAAAAATTCTACAAATGTAGTTCTACGAGCGTTGTTAGATTCATATGATAAAAAAGAGTACTGGAATTTTTGAAGAAAGGGTACATTTAACCACGTGTTTTTAACCCGACATTTATGTTCTCAACTTACCATTTGTTACACTCGTATTTTCAGTATTTTTAACACTGTCACTTATTGTCCTTAGCTACACGAAAAATGTTTGTTTGGGAGTTAAATAGTTATACGACACTTACATGATGTTGGATTAAAAGGATAAGATTTGTTTGTGTTCATGAATCCTATCCCCGACTTCACGTTGTTGTTATCTACGGAGTGCTTTGTTGATTGTGATTAACGTATGGCATCTGTTAACTTCATAAGAAACTTGTTATTAAACATATTTGAGATCGTGAAAGATAGAGAATTTGAACTATAAACACATCTTGAACTTGGAGTAGTTATGAGCTTTTGAATAGTAAATTGAATAATGTTATTTAGCTCTACTGGAGTTAAAAACCCCGTCTGTGTTGTGTTAGGTGATAGAGTAAATGAAATGTAAAATTAAATGACTTATTTAATTATATTTATCATTTAATGTCACATTAACGCTACATAGATTGAGGTTATAACCCCAATGAGGCTAAATAGAGTAATGCTATTAATCTCCATTGGGGATGAAAACACAATCTAGGTGGCGTTAATGTGGCATTAAATGATAGGTGAAATTAAATAAGTCATTTAATTTCACCTTTCATTTAACCTATCATTTAAAACCACCTAGACTGTGTTTTCATCCTCATTGGGGATGAATAACATTACTCGGCTAAATAACATTACTTTAGTAAATTTTTGGAACATGTGTAGTTCAAAAATGGGGAAATATTTTGAGTTTATGTGAAGAATATTTTATTTTTAGAATGTTTGATTAAAAATGAATAAGAGAAAAAAAAAAGAGTTTTAAAAGAATGATTGGCAAAGAGGGACTTAATTTAAACTATCAATATGTACATCTATTTGAATTCATGAACTTTGTCTGCTATAATACTATGTTGAGTCGCTCATCTAAAATCTAATATGGGCGGTGAAAGCATGAAACAAGAGAACACGTTAGTTGATTTCAGATGAACCACCATCGACATGATCGATCATCTTCTGAGCAAAAACTCATCGATTCATGTACGTAGGAATATTGAGAATTTGAGCTTGCTGATCTGAAATATTGAATATCGAGAATTTGACAAAATTAGTGAAGAATCAATAATTTTATTTCATAATATCTTATTATTACGAGTCTCTAATGCAGATCCAAAATTAGAATTTAATAGTACCAAATCACAATTCCAAATTGAGTGTGATCTATCAGAGTTCATCTTTGGGGGTGAATTCTTCATGTCGAATCTGATTATTTTCGGAAGATTTAATTGGATAAGAGGGTTCCATTGCTATACCACATAGTCCTTCTTTAGCTTTTACACCTCGTTCCATTCTAATGTAACCCTTTTCTCCCCATTCAGCACCCCATGAATTCTTCACAATCCAATATTTTGTTCCATCAAGTGTTGTTCCATATCCCACAATCGCCACCCCGTGATCCAGCTCCGTCCCACAGTCGCCTTTGAACACCCCCTGTCACACAAATTGATTGGCCGGTAAAACCGAAGTTAACACATAGGGACCAATAAGATATTATGCTAGAATCAATCGAGCGGTTTACCTCAGAGTAGAACTGGAAATTAGAACCCCCGGCTTCAATGGCAACTGATACGGGTTGATTCACTACGGCTTTCAATAGTGCATCTTCATTGTTCGCAGGCACATCCTCGTGCCCATCAATAGTCACGGCCGGAGAATTTTCCTGAAAATTCAAAATTTTATTCATTATACTGTAGAATTATATCCAGTACTATATACGAAACATTTGTGTAAGACGGTTTAATACCTTTTTAGAATTACACCTTCCATCTTCAGCCGTGTAAGGATAGTTTTTCTCAGTTGTAATGCCTCCTTTTTTCTTGATGAAGTCAAATGCTACATCCATAAGCCCTCCATTACAACCTTGATTTTCTGTATTATCACAATCAACAAGTTCTTGTTCAGACAAAGAAACTAGGTTATCTGTCCTAATCTGGTTTATTCCTTCAACCGCCACCACTGTTGAAAATGCCCAGCAACTACCTGTAAAATCAACAAAAAAATTAGATCTAGTTAGAGGTGTAAAACGAGCTAGGATGGAAAGTCCACATGGTCCAAACTAGTGTGTTGGGCAGCCTTGGACATATATGATTTGATCTACTTTGTACACCACTAGGCTTTTTAGTTTTTAAAATACGAGATGTGACCGAAAGGGGTCTGTCTGACATAACCCACCTTACACTTTGGTGCCACGATTGAGTACAAATATAAAAAAATATATAGTTTAATTCGTGGAAAATACACTCTTGCCTACCACATTTGCCTTGATCCTTGATATCGGTGACAGCGCCTGCCTTCCTCCAATCAACAGAAGGTGGAACACTCTCTACATTCGCGTACATGAACGTTCCATTTCCCCGTGCACCTCGGAGCATTCGATGATGCTTAATCTTAGAACCAGCATAAATACTTCTGAATTCATGGCTAGTCATGTCTGCAAACTTGTTGAGTTTCAACTTGTAAGGCTTATCTTCCTTGTTGAAGTTATGAACATAATGAGCATTGGCCTTAAACACATTGAAACGTTTATGCTTTTCTTCTAAATTCGTTGAAACAGTGTGGTAGCTCCGCCACCTCTCGTACAAATCCCAAAGCCTCTCTTCCGTCTCGAGTTCTTTCTCGTGAAAATCGAAGCATTTTCCGAGAGTGAAAACTAAAGCCAAAGAGAGGACAAGTATGAAAATTTTCTTCATTTTTTAGTGATCCAAGTTGTCACAAGATGAGAATTTTGTAAAATACAAGACACCTTTAAATAGAAGAGAGAAATCAATGAAATCACAAAGGGATGGAAGTGAGGTATTCCTTATGGGAAAGAACAATCAACAATTATGGTTTGAAAGATATGGAGGATCAATTAATGGAATAAAACCTGCCTATACAAGCAAGAATTCTTATAATTGGTATAGTTCACACACAAACAAACTTTTAACCTGGGGATGGGGGTTAGGTGAGATGGGTGGGGTAGGGGGGAGGTGGAGGGATGCATGCATTCAAAACAAATTATTGAAGAGTGTTTTGGTGGGTGAGGTTCCATGCAAAGAAAGTAAACTTTGTAGGATATTGGGAAAAGAAAGTAGGTGATGTAAGCATTAGCTATGTGGTTAGATGCCTTTTGGCATGCTTTCTTTCAAGTTGACACCAAAGTTTTCGGATATGTAGTATTAGATATGATTGAATAGTATGTGAAATAAATGAGATTTAAGATTATTTTATAATTTAAAGTTGCTCAGTCGAGCTTATATCGAGCATTTCATAGTCGATGATAACTGAAAAGGAAGATTTTGAAGTGCTTTATGGAGAGAGAGGTGGCAAAAGTACTACAAAAAGTAATGAGATTTGATTATATAATGTAATAAAGAAGATTCTTTTAACTGGTTTTTATTGCTAACATATCAAATATATCATGTTTGTCAATAACTGAAAATGAATATTTGAAATGCTTTATGGAGAGAAAAGTAACAAAAAGATGAGAAAAGTACAGAAAATCTGCTTAGTTTCTAGTCTTCCTTTTTCAAATAAATTAAAGAATGATAATATTACGCAAGAATTTTTATTTTTCTTTGAATTATTTGTATTTTAATGTTGGGTAACGTTTGCAGTATTGTTCATAACATGATTTTCCAAGCCATAACTTCAAATTGAAGTGAATATTTATAATCCAAAATTTAATACCCAAACTTTCTTTTGAGTTCGAGATTTCTACGCATGTAATGTGAGAATACGCATTGATTATTCTATATTCAATTGCGAATCTACAAATCATTGACCCTTTATGGGGTATTCGCAGAATCAACGAGCCTTTGAATTTTCCTTGCATCGCAGTGTATCATTATTTAATATTACTCAAATAAACATGAATTCTTACCCCTAATATGAGTAATAGCGTCGAAAAAGACTATGGAATTTTATTAACGATAAAGAAGAGTCAAGATCGAGGATTGGGCGGCCATGAAAGCAAACAAATTCCTTTAACTTCCAAGCTGATGATACCAAAAGATGTTGCTTGTAAGACTACTGTTGCTTGAGATAGTTCCCAAAAATGCATATTATCATTTCTATCATTACATGTTCCTTTTTTTCCTCCACTACAGATCGACCTTCACGTTATAGTTGATGAATTCAAAAAATAATAATAAAAGAAAAACAGATCATAATATTCTTTTGTGCCATAGTGAAGCACTTCATCAGTAAATAAACGCAAATTGCATTCAAAGCGATGAAATCTAAATCTTATGTCTTTGCTTGATTTCATTTTTCTGCTTTCTTGTTAATATTGTTTTCAATAGTACAAAATGAAACGTTTAATCTCTAACAGTACATTCTATTTTTGATAGATATGAAAATTATCATCAATATCTCATGATGCCGAGGGCTGTCCCTCTTTCCCTCACTCTCCTTTCCCTAATATTAACAGTTGACCCTGGAAAATGTACCTCCCACTATGTCAACAACTCACAACTCCACATAGATACCTTCCTACTTACTAGAACACATTGTTAGTCGCCCA